CCCTTTTTTATAGATAGATATAAAAACCTATTATATACTGATATAAAATATTGACAGTTAGAGGTGGAAAAATGGGCTTAGCCCGGAGGGCCGGCCCACCCCGTTCGTCAAACGGATAAGTTCGCTCGCTAACACAATTTTTTTTTCTTATATTTATTGTCTAACAAATTAGTCTTTGTGTGGCTAAAATCATTAGATTTACTACTGTAAATATTTTAAAAACAATCATCTACACAAATTGAATAATCAGATTGTGATAAATGAAAGTCCATCACTGGGAAATACTAAAAGAAGCCGAGTCAAATTGCATAATTTTTGAATGACAACAAGACAAGCTAATACAACGACATTTATATTTTATATCAAAGGATCAAACAAGATGCCTTTGAAGAGTTTGGTGGAAACTCAAGTAATCACTAAGCCCACAGGTTAAGAACTTTATACATAGAGTAGATTTTCGTTTGAATTAAAAAAAATTAATTTTTTTCACCAAAAAAAATAAATTTATTTTTATTAATTACTCAATTAAAAGGAATGATAATTCAATGTTTTGCAATATATCATTATTTTAATGTTATTTACGAATAGTTGTTTTCAACCCAGTGAGTAGTTGGCTTTTCATATTCTTCACCAAATTATTGTTGGTGGAGTTGAAGTATTATTGAGATTAAATACGATGAATTAAATATATGCTTATATATATATGTTAATTTCGCGAATAATTATTTATACTTTTGCAATTAAGCTAATGAATGGTCTTTTGATATTACCACATTCAACTTCAACTATGAAGTGTTTGTTAGATTATTGAACGTACTAACTCAAATATTTGTTAACTCTTCATCTAATATACGTGTCACAAATACACACACCTCAGAGAGTTGATTTAGAGGCAACTATAGAAAATATAGATATATTAGAATATCTTCGAAAAATAAAAAACATAGGTAGATAGTAATCTAGACGGAACTATAAGAATCTTTTTTTATGGATAAAAATAAAAACATATTACATGTCATATTAAATGCTGACAGTTAAAGGTGACAAAATGGGCTCGGTTCGGTGGGCCGGCCCTCCCTGCCCGCCAACATGTTTTTTTTATATATATTTACTGTCTAACAAATCCGTCTTTGTGTGGCTATGATCGTTGAATTTGCTGTTATAAATATTTAAAAAATAAGCATACAAACAAAATTTCTTTTTTTCCCCGCACAGTCATTTTGAGAAATAAATTGAGATAACAAATTTATACATGCTAAAAGTATTGTCCTCCCTTTGATAGTCATCCATGATCAAAATTGTATTGCAGAATGAGTTTTATCACTTTTGCAAGTGTAAGTTGGGCCATCTACATTAATACCTTGATATCAAGCACAACTTTTACATTTTTCTTATTTATGTATTGCGTGATTATCTGAATTTAATTGGCCATATACTACATGTATAAAAAGTTGAAGTTAGGTATCTCATAGTGTTGATTTAAATAAAATGTAGTGAAATACTTTTACGATTTGCGTTAACTTTTACGAGACAAACAAATTGATTTTTTCCGTGCAACGCACGGTTAATATACTATATTTGTTTTGCAAAATAATTGATATGTCTTAATTGTAGAGTTTTGTTTGTGGTTGATACTTACAAAGTTCTATGTGAATGTTGTAGCTTTTTCATTCCTATAATAGCACCAAATACTGACACAATTCTTTCTTTTAGAGATTAGTCGCCGACAAAATTTTTGATCTTTTTCCTCTGTACATCGCACGAGTAATGCACTAGTTGTTACTTAATATGTATACTTGCACCCGAGAACTTTGTAATTGCTTCATAACTGTCTTCCCTTCACAATGACTGAATTTGCTCCATTATCTATATCTGAAATTATACTCCCTTCATCTATATTTTATTCTCATATTGGTATTATTTGTAATTTTCTTACTTTATTATTTGCAAATATCCACTATAATGAAATTTAAATGCTTTTCTATATTTAATTATTGAATTATAACATTATATATAGATCAGGTCGCATCTGTTGTGTGTAAAAATAGAATATACAAAACAATACGCACAAGATTTTTATTATTTGCTATCATCCAATTTCCCACCCTTAAATTTACAGTGTCATTGTAAATAGAGTCTCGAAGTTTCTTGTAAGTGTCTTTGATAATAAAGTAGTAAATCAAAAAGTAACGACCACATAAGTTCATTAGATACTTACATACACATCACACTTGAGAGACAATGCACAACAGCAGCAATGAACTTTGTTTTTAATAAACAAGGAATATTGAAGAGCCTTACTCAGAGATTATTTGGAATCAAATATACTAAAATATAAGAGTGAACTCCGTGATGAGTGTGGAAAGAGAGTGTATGCGCTATGGATCTATCATTCTGTTAAAGTAATAATATGTTCCTTCTCTTTTTTATTTTTTAATACAATTTGATTAATAGAGTGTGATAAGTCGCATTTAAAACTCATATTATAGTAAATGTGGTTGATTCAGTCGGCGAAAGTTAAATTATTGCGTTTCAAAAGTTTATGATTATTTCTAGTTGCAGTATTGGTTAAAACTTTGGGTAATAATTTTCTCATGTTATCTCCTACTGACTTATTTATGCAAGTGGGGCTCGCTTTCGAGGGAATAGAGAAAAAAATAACGTGAGATCCATCTTGAATTTATGTGTGTATGAGATAGATTCTATCTTATGTAATATAAGAGTAATAAATTCCTAAAACTTTTGGGATGATAACTTTTACAAGGTGTCTTTTCTTCTAAACTTTTTATAAAAGAAAAGAAAAGCTCATATATTATTGTTTAAGTTATAGTTTCTGTTTTCTTTATGATAACGACAACACATTTGTCTCATAATCATCTTCATTAGTACCTTGATGTTAAACACAACTTTTACATTTTTCTTATTTATGTATTGCGTGATTATCTGAATTTAATTGGCCATTGTAATATGCTACATGTATAAAAAGTTGGAGTTAGGTATCTCATAATGTTGATTTAAATAAAATGAAGCGAAATACTTTTACGATTTGTGTTAACTCTTACGAGACAAACATATTGATTTTTTCTGTGCAACACACGATTAATATACTATATTTGATTTGCAAAATAATTGATGTTTCTTAATTGTAGAGTTTTGTTTGTGGTTGATATTTACAAAGTTCTATGTGAGTGTTGTAGCTTTTTCATTCCCATAATAGCACCAAATACTGACACAATTCTTTCTTTTAGAGATTACTCGCCGACCGTCGTCGACAAAATTTTTGTTCTTTTTTCTCCGTACATCGCATGAGTAATGCACTCATGGTTGTTAAGATCTCGATTTATCACTACGATTTTACGTTTTTATGATTTTTTTCATCAAAACGATTTTATTAATATTCCAAACGCTTTTACGTTCTTACGACTTTTTTACACTATGATTTTACGTTTTATGATTTTTTAATCCCCTCCCGATTTTACTTAAGATCTCGATTTTAACAAACACTGATTGTTACTTAATATGTATACTTGCACCCGAGAACTTTGTAATTGCTTCATAATTGTCTTCCCTTTACAATGACTGAATTTGCTCCATCATCCATATCTGAAATTATACTCCCTTCATCTATATTTTATTCTCATATTGGTATTATTTGTAATTTTCTTACTTTATTATTTTCAAATCCCCACTATAATGCAATTTAATTGCTTTTCTATATTTAATTATTTAATTATAAAATTATATATAGATTAGGTCGCATCCGTTGGGTGTAAAAATAGAATATACAAAACAATATGCACAAGATTTTTATTATTTGCTATCATCCAATTTCACCCCCTTAAATTTACAGTGTCATTGTAAATAGAGTCTCAAAGTTTCTTGTAGGTGTCTTTGATAATAAAGTAGTAAATTAAAAAGCAACGGCCACACAAGTTCATTAGATACTTACATACACATCACACTTGAGAGACAATGCACAACAGCAGCAATGAACTTTGTTTTTAATAAACAAGGAATATTGAAGAGCCTTACTCAAAGATTATCTGGAATCAAATATACTAAAATATAACAGCGAACTCCGCAATAGTGTGGAAAGAGAGTGTTTGCACTATGGATCTATCATTTTGTTAAAGTACTAATATGTTCCTTCTCTTTTTTATTTTTTTAACACAATTTGATTAATAGAGCGTGATAAGTGACTACATTTAAAACTCATTATACTAAATGTGGTTGATTCAGTCCGCGAAAGTTAAATTATTCATTTCAAAAGTTTATGATTATTTCTAGTTATCAGTATTGGTTAAAACTTTTGGGATGATAACTTTTACATGTTGTCTTTTCTTCTAAACTTTTTATAAAAGAAAAAAAAATCATATATTATTATTTAAGTTATAGTTTCTGTTTTCTTTATAATAACGACAACACATTTGTCTCATAATCATTTGCCATTCCAAAAGGCCCAAAAAAAAAACACTTTATCATTCATAGTCTTTTTCTCTTTTCTGGATTTTTCTTTACTTAGCACGACACTCACCCTTTTATCAGTGCCAAACACAGCACAAATCTCAACAAAAAAAGAAAAAGTTAAAAAAAAGAAAAAGTTGAAAATCTCAAATCATAGACAATACCTTAAGGACGTTTGGTAGAGGAAAAACTTTTTTTTGTCCAAGAATATCGACTTTCAAAAATATGATTTTTACATTCAATTTATGATAATATCTAAAATTTAAAATTTAAAAAATTTAATTTATCCGAAATCTTAAAAAATAACGCGTACCAAACACCTCTTAAAAAACAAAAACAATTTCGAGCCAACAGACAATATTTGGAATCACAGGCTTTGCTCTGTCTACCACTACACAACAGAACAGAACACATCACCCATGAGCACAAAACCCTAATATCCTCATATCCTATCAAAATCGATACTTTATTAAACAAATAAAAACCCCAATTCCCCCAAATCTCCTCCTTCAGTTCCTTCCCTTTTCCCACTCACACACACTAACCCCACTCTCTCTCTCTCCTCCCTTTCTCTCTCTATATTACCAAACAGTTGAATCTGTCGCCTTCAATTGCGACTTTCCGCCACTAACCCCATTTTCTCTCTCCCTCTCTCTCTCTCTCTTGGTTTGGTATATAAAAGTTAGGGCCTTTGGGTATGAATCAAAGTGGTGGGACAAAGGACCCAGAGGGCGAGCTCGTGGCTCAGTCTCTGCCCCAACCCCAAGAAGAGGTTCCAAAGGGTTCAGACAAAACCGAATCGGTAACGGTCAGTGGCGAAGAACAAGAGGTCCTGGAAGAGGAGAAGCCACCGGAGGACCATCCAATGGAGGAAGAATCGGTTAGCCCCGCCACCGTTTTTTGCATCAGGCTTAAGCAACCTAGGTCCAATTTGCTGCACAAGATGAGTGTCCCTGAACTTTGTCGGAATTTTAGGTATGTGTTCTGAGGAGATTCTAAAAAATGAACTGTTTTCTACTTCAAATTCTTGCAGTTGTTGATGGGTTTTTGTTAAATTATTATTATTATTATTATTTTTTTTTTGCGGGGGTCATGAATTGGAAGCTTCTTCATTTTAAGTAGTAAAGTCTAACTATATCAAAATATTAAAGTTTCTCCTACTTTGTCAATGAACTACGGATTGCCGTATGTGTAGTAAGATTTATACCTGGAGATGTTGTTTTTGTATTACAATACTTTGCCTTCTTCCTAAGCATTTTAAGTTCTTCAGAAATAAAATTCTTTTGCTTTTAACAGTTGGTTGTATTTATGCTGACAATAAAAGGAATCTGGATGAGGGATGACAGTAATAACTGATGAGTATGTGCATGTGTAAGTAATGGCGAGTTTCCATCTAGCCTGCAGTTTAAGGATTCCAAGGTGTTTAGGACTGTAGTGTACTAATATCTTTGCCAATTTAGGCAGGAGAGTCTGGACTTTGGAAGATTTTTGATCCTTTTTCCACATCAATGTTAGTCTTCCCCTTAATATTATAGAATCATTTTGGGGAAGTTGAAAAGAAGTAAATGTTTGGCTTCCTTGGATTTTCTTCACTCCACTCTCTCATGGAGTGTTGATGTAGCCAGTAATTATCACATCTGATGATGTTCTTCATCCTTATGCTGATGTGCATATTTTGTTGCGAAAATCACGAAAACCATGTAGACTTATTTTGCATGATTGATAGTATATGAGTGTTTTTATAAAATTTAGATTCTGACATCCTTTGTTTGGTCTTCCAATGGCTTTATGTAAAGTGAATTTGCGTGTGTACTATATTTGGCCTTTTATTTTACGGTATAATAATTTGGTAATGTCAATTTCTCTCTCTTTTTTGGGTTTTGTTTTTTCTGCAGTGCTGTTTCCTGGTGTGGAAAACTGAATGCTGTAGCTTGTGCAGCTGAAACATGTGCCAGAATTCCAAGGTTTGTTTTCTAATCCATTTTGACATGTTCCCTATCGGAAAAACTTTGACCACATGCTATATGTTTCATTAAGAACAAGACATTATGTTGTATAAATGATAAGTGAAGGAAATTTTAAGAGCAGAATAATGGTTAAGATTAAGAGAATTGTTTTGCGGGTCCATTGCATGATATATTATCGATAAAATCAAATAGACTTAGTTTGGTTGATGTACATTTGAAGCTTTCTAATTTACTTTAATCTTATGTTGAGACCTACGTGAAGTACTGGGAAGAGATGATGATGCTCTAAGAATTAGCTTACATGGGAAGACTTAGATTTGAAACGTGATTTGATTCCTTTTCTCAATCTTTTAATTATTAGGTTCAATGTTGTTAAAACATAGAGTCTATGTAGAAACGGTAGGGGTGAGCAAAAATGTAAAATCGCAAAACGTAAACGAAACGTAAGAGTTTACTAACGTACCAAAAATAAAATATATATCGAACATATATAAAACCAAAACATGCAAACATGTTTATTTAATAAGAATGTCAATTTTAATCTTTGTTTTAATTTATATAGAATAATTTTAATGTATTAATTATATGAGTTATTAAATTTAAGTAGATTAATGACTAAGAATATATATAATTTTTTTTTATTATTACGTGTTATATATATATGTGTGTGCGTGAAAAACATTTGTCCTTGTCCTTTTAAAGGACATATAATTATGTCATTTTAAGAGAGAGAAATAAACAACCTAGTATTTTTTATTTAAAATTTAAAATTTAAAAAAAAATACTCACTTTCTCTTCCATGATTTCCATTGATGTATCTTTCTCTCACTTAAAATGACATAACTTCATGTCCTTTAAAAGGACAAACGCTAAACCTTTTATATATATATATATATATTATATTTTTGAATTATGCAAAAAAAAAATTCGTAAATTTTTTTTGGTAAAATCCCATCCCACTCCTTCTGCTTAACTTCAATATTAGGCTTTATGGGCTTAATTTGTACTACGGAGGAATCCTCCTTGGGTGGAGGCCTGAAATTGTTTCTTCCAACTTTGAGGAGGTGGAATATTCGAGCATGGAGCTGAGTGTTCACCGTAAGGTGACAATAGAGTTTATCACCTCCCTCCCTTCCCTTCCCTTCCCTTCATTTCCCTTCCTTCTCTCTCTCTCTCTCTCTGACCCTTCTTTTCTTGCGTTTTGATTTGGGTTGGAGTAACAACCAACAATGGCGAAGGTGTTGGCGATGAAGCTCTTCTTCTCCTTCTTCATCGCCTCTCTGCTTCTCTCTCTCCCCTCCTCGTCAGAGTTGACTCTTTTTTTTAGAACTGAGTCAACTCAGTAAACTCGCCGAATTTACAGAGTTGACACGACATTTCAACCGTGTCAACCTAGATCCCGTTTCTACTTTCGTTTCGACACGTTTTTTATAAAAAAACGTAGAAACGTCTACGTTTTAACAACCATGATTAGGTTGATCTGAAAGATGATTTTATCCTTAATTAAAGAGTTTTAAGGCTCAATTTTGCATTTAAAACATCTTGAATCAGCTCCCAATAACTTTCAAATTCAGGCAGAGTTTGTGATGGAACCAAACAGAGTTTATGATGGAACCAGGATAATAAGATCCTTCGAATTAAAGCTTACCAAGATGTAAACCAAACTATCATATTTGTATTAATATCAACCGAATTCAGAAATAACAGTGACGATAACCAGTAATATCAAACATAGAACAAGAGGAAAAACTCCACTCCAAGACAACAACCTAGCCTTGAGAGCTTTTTCCTCTCCTAATTCCCCAACATAATTCCCCAAATTACAAATAACAATCAACATAAAGAAATTCCACCCTAAACATCTATATATACTAATTCCTGATGCACTTAAGTCACCATAAATTATTATAATTGCAGACGTTTTAGTTTTAAAGCTTTTTATGGATTTTAATAATTGCAGACGTTTCAGTTTGCATGACTTTATGTTTTGTTTATGGTTATTTCCATTTTGTATTAGTTTTTAAGACCATTGATGGTCTTTTATTGTCAGTTACTTTTTGTATTGCCTTTAAAAGGCTTGTTAGAAGGACGTGAAAGGAAGACTTTTTGATGATTGAAGAATGATAATATAGCAGAAAACTTCTGCATTTTCCTGAAAGCCTACTTTCCATATAATTTTGCATCATTTGGTATCAGAGCTCAGGTTGCCTTAAATATGGCTGAGCAGGAAAATCGCGGAGGTCGTGGTCGTGGACGAAGAGGTCGTTGCGGCAGACGCGGTTGCCTTAAATATGGCTGAGCAGGAAAATCGCGGAGGTCGTGGTCGTGGACGAAGAGGTCGTTGCGGCAGACGCGGTCAACCTACCGTTGGTGATTATTATACTGATGCGAGAGATGCTGAAATTGAGGAAAAGGACAGACGGATCCAAGAACTCGGAAAGATCATCTCATGAGGAGGAAAGGAGATTCTGGAACCGGAACCAGGAGCGACGAGGACGAAGTCAACCTGGAAATCAATCCTTTTTTGCTAATATTGAGGTGATGATTGAGATCCCGGAATTCGAAGGCACCACTCATCCAGATGAGTTTATCGACGAGTCACACACCGTCGAAAAGGTCTTTGACATCATAGACTTGACAGAAGACCAGAAGGTCCCTATCTATGATAAGTATACCCAAAGATGAAGTTCTACCCAAAGATATCATGCAGAATGATCCTTCATCCAAGAAGTCTTTAGTTTGCAAGCAGTATTATGAATTTGGGGACAACGAGCATAACAACCTTATGCTCCATGGAGATAAAGATTTAGCTTTTGGTAAAAATTTAATTGGAGATCGTCTAGGACAATGGGACTTGCTGGTACATCAGACAAAGTTTTCCTATGACGGATCACAGATGCGATCATTGATCCAAACTACAAATGAATATACCAAGCATGTCAAAGAATTGCATTTCCAAGTCCTAATCTTAATTAGGAAATTTGGTGATATTGTACCAGAAGAGTTGCCGCTTGGATTACCACCTGAAGACATTGCAGATTCGAGGGCGAATCTTTTCCTAGTGGGAGAGGATGATGCACTTAAGTCACCATAAATTATTATAATTGCAGACGTTTCAGTTTTAAAGCTTTTTATGGATTTTAATAATTGCAGACGTTTCAGTTTGCATGACTTTATGTTTTGTTTATGGTTATTTCCATTTTGTATCAGTTTTTAAGACCATTGATTGGTCTTTTATTGTCAGTTACTTTTTGTATTGCCTTTAAAAGGCTTGTTAGAAGGACGTGAAAGGAAGACATTTTGATGATTGAAGAATGATAATATAGCAGAAAACTTCTGTATTTTCCTGAAAGCCTACTTTCCATATAATTTTGCATCAATTCCTATCTAATGGGCTTGGGTACTTTTATTAATGTGATGTTTTGAATTATCATTGCATCGTATTCATGAGTTACTTGACTGTTGTTTGATGTGGAGCAAGGATTAAGAAAGTAACTGTTGTTTTAGGCAGCTTTTGATACTTTTATTTTGCTTTGTTTGTCTTGTCTAGTCTCTAGTAAAATCTGAAAAGTTTCGTAATACAAATGTGTTAAAAGAGAGGTTATAACCAGATTTGATATCCATACATTTTAGGCATATAAGCGTATTAAACAAACCCACGGACAGATTTAAATGAACCTAGTGTATTGCAAATTGCAATGGGCTTTTCAAGTGCTAAATAAGCTGAGCTCCTGAAGCCATATCATTTATTTAATTTTGCTTTCTATATTTGTCCATTGCTACTTTATTTTTATAAGCTGGCACAGATGTTGTTTTGCGTGCTCAATCAAGTATTTATTGCTCTTTACGCTGGTTCGCTGGCACCTGTGTGTTTGTTTTTGTTGGTGATTTGTAATGCTTATTGGTGTTTTTCTTTTTTCCATAGTTCAACTGCCAATCCACCATTTTGGATTCCTATACATATTGTTATCCCTGAAAGGCCAACTGAATGTGCAGTGTTCAATGTCATAGCAGGTATTTTGATGTCGTTGCTTCATTCTATGACCATGTTTCCTTTTTGCTGTATCTAACACCAAAATAGGCTAAGCAATGGTTAAGTTAGTGTTAAGACATTAAAGAGTTTTTCTAGTTCTCTTGCATTTCCAGTATAAAGCTTATGCTAATTCGAGGCTATTCAACCGTATAATCTGGCATAAGCTAATAGTAACAGTTAAATGTAAAAGAATACGTTGTGTATTGATCTGTGTCAGGGAGTTACATTATATAGAGACCCTAATGGGCTTAAGTGTAAGGCCCAAACCTAATCCTAATACAGTCAGAATACAGTCAGACTATTTACGGATAAGACAGAATCCAATCATATCTAATCATATCATATCTAATATTCTAACACTCCCCCTCAAGCTGGTGCGTATATATTATGAGCACCAAGCTTGTTACAAATGTATTCAACCCGAGGACCTCTAAGAGCTTTAGTGAAAACATCTGCTAGTTGATTAGACGAGTTGACAAAAGCTGTCTTGATTTCTCCTGACTGAATCTTTTCCCGAATGAAGTGACAATCAATCTCTATATGTTTGGTCCTCTCATGAAAAACAGGATTAGAGGATATATGTAGCGCAGCTTGATTATCACAGATGAGTGTCATGGGTTGTTTCTGTTCACAAAGATGAAGCTCCTGAATCAACTGCTTTAACCAGATCAACTCACAGGTAGTATTTGCCATTGCACGATACTCAGCTTCTGCACTAGATCGGGAAACAACAGGTTGTTTCTTGCTTTTCCATGAGATTAAGTTTCCTCCGAAGAAGACACAATAACCAGAAGTAGAGCGTCTGTCCGAGGGTGATCCTGCCCAATCGGCATCTGAGTAACCACAAATTTCTGTATTTCCCTGATCCGAATACAACAAACCTTTTCCTGGTGCTCCTTTGATGTATCGGAGGATCCTCACAGCAGCATCCCAATGTGAATCACAAGGAGAATCAAGGAACTGACTAGCCGTACTGACAGCGAAAGAAATATCTAGCCTAGTCACAGTAAGATAATTGAGCTTCCCAATCAGCCTTCGATAACGTCCAGGATCAGATAACGGCTCTCCTTGTCTGGGCAATAACTTAACATTAGGATCCATGGGTGTATCAATTGGTTTACACCCCAACATACCAGTCTCTTCTAGGATATCCAAGGCATACTTCCTTTGACAGATAGAAATGTCCTGTCTAGATTGCGCCACCTCAATTCCCAAGAAGTAACGCAGCTTCCCAAGGTCCTTTGTTTGAAATGCACTGAATAAATGTTGTTTTAAATGACGGATTCTGTCTTGATCACTTCCGGTGATGATGATGTCATCAACATAGACTAACAAATAGATGCACTTGTTAGGAGATGTAATCCTATAGAATACAGAATGGTCAACTTTACTGCGAATTAGGCCAAACGCCTGTACAGCAGAACTAAAGCGACTGAACTATGCTCGAGGAGACTGCTTGAGACCATATAAGGATTTTCGAAGACGACATACCTTCCCAGACTCCCCCTGAGCAACAAAACCAGGTGGTTGCTCCATGTAAACTTCTTCTTGTAAATCACCATGAAGAAAGGCATTTTTGATGTCAAGTTGAAGGAGTGGCCAGTGACGAACAACAGCAAGGGCAAGAAATAGGCGGACGGACGCCATCTTAGCGACTGGAGAGAATGTATCGCTATAATCAATACCAAATATTTGAGTAAAACCCTTGGCAACTAGGCGTGCCTTGAGACGATCAACATGGCCATCAGGTCCAACTTTCACAGTAAACACCCAGCGACAACCAACTATAGACTTCTCTGGAGGAGCAGAAACAAGGTCCCAAGTGCCATTGGTATGAAGTGCGGTCATCTCATCAAGCATCGCTTGGCGCCATCCTGGATGGCAAAGTGCTTCACCTGTGGTCTTAGGAATAGAAACAGAAGAAAGACTAGAAACAAAGGTGAAATGAGGAGGAGAAAGACGATCATAGCTCAAGAAGGTATAAAGAGGATAAGGGTACGAGTAGTACGTGTACCTTTTCTTTGAGCAATGGGAAGAGCCTTTGGTGAAGGATCCGGAGGGGAAGAATCAACTGCAGGGGGCAATGAGTCAGCAGGGGTCGAGTCGACTGGAGGTACTGTGTTACGACGCTGATAAGTGAGAAGTGGACGGTTCTCAGGTACTGGAGCAATAGGTGATTGCTTATCTGGAGTAGAAGCACCTGCATCTGGCAAAGACAAGTCAAGAAAAGGAACAGGAAGAACATGATCAACCTGTGACAATGGAGATGGGATAGAATTAAAGGGTTGTTGATCAAGAAAGGTGACATCAGCGGAAACTAAGTAACGCTTGAGATCAGGAGAGTAACAGCGATAACCCTTTCGAAGACGAGAATAACCCAGAAAAATGCATTTAAAGGCTTTGGATGTTAACTTATCCTTACCAGGAGTGAGATCATGAACAAAACAGGTACAACCAAAAACATGTGGGGATAGAGGAAAGAGAGGAACATCCGGAAACAATAAGTTATGAGGAATATCATTATTAAGCCCAGATGAAGGCATGCGGTTGATGAGAAAGCAAGAAGCAAGGACTGCATCAGCCCAGAAGTGAAGATGAACATGCAATTGAATAAGAAGAGTCCTAGCAATCTCAATGAGATGTCTATTCTTACGTTCAGCTACTCCATTTTGTTGTGGAGTGCGAGGACAAGTGGTTTGGTGTAAAGTACCCTGTGTGGCTAGGAAATGAGAAAAGTCAACAGAAACATATTCCTTAGCATTATCACTACGTAAAATACGAATAGAAGCACCAAATTGAGTATGAATTTCAGCAGAAAACCTTTGATAAATAGAAAACAACTCAGAACGGTTTTTCATTAAATAAATCCAAGTACAACGGGAGAAATCATCAATAAAGGTAACAAAATACCGAAACCCTAAAACAGACACACTTCGACTAGGACCCCAAACATCTGAATGAATAATTGAAAAAGGAGCATCAGCTCGCTTATTGACACGATTAGCAAAGGAGGAGCGGATGTGCTTTCCTTGCTGTCATGACTGACAATCTAAAGTTTGAAGACCGGATAAAAGAGGAACCATCTTCTGCAATTTCGCAAGACTAGGATGCCCAAGACGACTGTGGATGAGTTGTGGAGATTCTGTGAGAGAACAAGCAACTGAAGGACTCGGCACATCAAGGTAGAACAGACCCCGTGACTCACGGCCCACTCCAATCATTTTCCCCGTACCCGGGTCCTGCACAGAAACAGATTGGTTTGAGAATGTGACAATACAATTAAGAGAATTATTCAATTTACTAACAGATATTAAGTTATAAGGGATGTGAGGAATGTAATAGACAGATGTCAAGGTCAATGAGGAGGTTGGACAGATTTGTCCAATCCCATGAACGGGGGCCTTAGTTCCATCAGTAAGAGTAAAAGAGGGTAAATTTTCAGAATATGTAAGGGAAGAAAAGAGTTCCTTATTACCACAGAGGTGATCAGTAGCATCTGAGTCAAATATCCAAGGACCAAGTGATGCAGAATGAGAAACACAAGCAACAGGATTACCAGTTTCTGAAGCGGAGGCCTGAGATTGAGGAGAGGACTTCCTGAGAAGGGCCTGGAATGCTACATATTCTTCAGAGGAGAGAGAGACTGTACCATTTGAAGCAGTATCCGATTGAGCTATATTAGCAGCAAAAGAAGGTCGCATGTGAGGATACTTTGTGTAGCAGCGTTCCTCATAATGACCAAGTTGCTGACAGTAATGACAACGAGGTCGCTGACCACGTCCGACTGGACCTCCTGGGCCACGACCTCCTGGGCCACGGCCTTCTGGGCATCTACCACGACCTTCTGGGCCTCTACCACGACCACGTCCACCTCCAATATTCCCGCGAAAATCATTACGGGAAACTAGAACAGTAGAATCAACAGCAGAAGACGATGCAGAAGCAGATTTCTTATTCAAATTCAGAAGACGCTGATACGTCATGGATAGATCAGGCTCCCCACTAGTCAAGATAGTATCACAGACATTATCATATTCTTCGGGAAGGCCAGAAAGTGTGGCAACCATAAAGAGACGTTCCACCTGTTTCCGATATGCAGTAGCATCAGTAGGGTAAGGCAACATATCCAAATATGCCTGCATCAAAGAGCCACTCTTGCCAATATATGTCTCCATCTGAATGTCAGATGATTTGCTCAATTCCATAAACTTGGAGATGATGAAATAGAGTTGCTGAACATCATTAGTGTAGAGGTTTTTTGCTTCCTCCCATACTTCAGTGCAAGTTTGAAAGGAATAAAAGATATCCAAGACGATCGGATCAATGGATTGCCAGAGGATACTCAGAAGTTGGTTGTCAATCTTTTCCCAATCAGACTTGTCCTCCTTAGGGACATCAGTAGACTTAGTTGTGAGATGGTTCCCATATCCTTGTCCAAAGAACCAAACTCGAACAGAGGTGGCCCAGTTCTTGTAATTAACAGATCCCTTCAATTTTGAAGAGGTAATGGACCCAATATTGATAGAGATGATATTGGGAGAATTTCTCACAGGAGGAGATGGAGACTTGACCTCCAAATGAATTGGAGGGTTTGCTGCCATAGTATTAAATCACAAAGATACAAACCGAATAAAGAGAAACGAACCTGATCACCAATCAAGAAGAGGTGCGCACAAAAAGTCAGACCCACAAAGAACATACCACAGATCCAGAAAGAGGAGGAGAAGACGAGCTTCTCTGTCCAAGACCGGCCGGAAAAAGCCGCCGGAATAGTGCTCACGCGCCGGCAGAAGGTGGCGCGTGAAGCCCACGCGCAGAGAAGACTGGAGGCGCGTGAGAGCGCGTGACAACTCTGATGGTGGCCGGACTTCCACAGAGCAGGTCGCCGGGAGGAGAGGGTTCTGTTCGCGTTCGTTCCAGACTGAAAACTCGCCGGAAAAGTACTCCGGCAGCCTGAACAGTGGCTGACGGTGGCTGATGG